TACCCATTGCTCTACTCCGCATACGCACTGCTCCCCGTAAGGATGTGGACATATTGCCCTATGAAATGTTGTTTGGACTCCCGTACATGGGAGCGGTAGAGGCCCTCCCTAGCTACAAATCCAAAGATAAATTCTTGCAGAACTATATACTGGGGATTTCTTCTTCTTTGTCTACCCTCAGGGAAAAGGGACTCCTGGCTCAGACTGCGCCTCTGGAATTTGTGGTGCATCGATTCAACCCTGGAGATTGGGTCCCGATTAAAACCTGGAAAAACTCGAAATTACAAGCTGACTGGGAAGGTCCCTTTCTGGTATTACTAACAACTGAAACATCCCTGCGGACAAAAGAAAAAGGGTGAACCCATTACACCCGGGGAAAAGGGCCCGTTTCACCACCAGAACAGGAGGAGTGGGTGGTGTCTGCTGGAAACAAACCTCTGAAACTTCAGCTATGCCGGAAGGACCTGAAGCAGCATGGGAGGACTGGTCAGGTGACTTAAGAGCCTAGTCCTCGGATGTGTTGGTTCTGTGAGTGTAGCTGCTGGTGTGTGTGTTGCTGCTGTGCACATTGTCCCAATTGTGCACCTGTACACACTGATTGTACCAGTGAGTGTGACATTATGTTAATAGAGGACTGGCTAGACCAGGAGGAAGAACAGGACATGGCTCGAAGTAACATTATGGTGCCTTGTCCTCCCAATGGGTGTGGGAACACATGAGGACACGTCTAATTCTGGGTTTGAGGATTGTGCCCCTTGCATCAAACAGACTAAATATCACAACCAGATCAACCAGACTCTGATATACCATACAGAGTATAATTTTAGAGACCCGATCAGGAGATGTCAATATCAGAGGGTTATGTATTCCAAGTGTAATACCACAAAGGGGATTGTTTGCTATGATCCCAAAGTACCTCCATTTAGAACTTACCTGGAAATCAGGTCGGCAGTAGCTAATGAAAGGTGGGAAGGGGATGAAAAGTTCATAACATCGGTCCAGGTATTTGAAATGCACAGGCCCGTTAACTTAACCTTTGATGCCTGCCAAGTATTAGGAATGAATGCGGTCAAGTATTCATGTGGTAGCATGAACTGGGTATGGGCCTATGCGAAAGACCATAAATACTTGTGTAAGGAAAAACCCACGGATGCATATCGATCTTCTTACCCCTTCACAATAGGATCTCCCTGCTTTAGTCCTAAGGAATGTGCGGGATGGAGTTGTGTCAGCTGGAGTACCAGTAACTATGGAACTATGCAAGGAAAAATTATAACCCTGTTTAAGGGCCAAACCCCTGCGGCCTGCTCTCTTTTTACTTGTAATCCGGTAATGCTTCAAACTATTCCATCCCTATTGGAAGGTGCGCAGAGAAGACAGGAGATGACTCAACATTTTGGGTTTGGAATTGATGGATCAGGACTGGATCCAACTACCCTCTTAACTTTAAGGGTAGTAAATTGGACGCACACTGAATATTCCATTCCTTTTATGAGGTGCTAAGTGAATCAGAAGTCCAAATGAAGGAATGGACCTGTTTAAAAAGGGCCAAGAATTTGTTTATAAATTTAGCTGAGAAAATTGCAAGCTCATTAAAAGTCACTAATTGTTATGTGTGTGGAGGAACTAATATGGAAGAGCAATGGCCATGGAAAGCCCAGAAAATAGTTTTAGGCAACCTGACTCACATAAATTTTACTCAGTTTCATGACCCCTATGGCCCATCAGCATGGGGGCTGGCAACCTCTATAGTGGGGCATACTTGTGTGAGTAGGTCATGTGGGGATCCTTTTAACAAGGATATGGGGAGCCTAGTGTGCGAAACCACATACGTGGCAAACCAGTCCTCTTGATGGTACCCCACTCCCACACACCCAGGAATGATAACCAGAAATCCTTTTCCCACCCACACACACTTACATGAGGTTTGGATCAATGGTCGTAATGCTTCTCTAGCATGGAAAGCTCCAGCAGGTCTGTACTGGATATGTGGAAAGAATGCATACCCCTCATCACCAGAAGGATAGTGTGGGGCCTGTGTACTAGGCACAATAAGGCCCAGCTTCTTCCTGATCCCAGTAACCAGAGGAGAAAGGTTAGGGGTCATGGTATATGATGACCTAAGGAGAAGCAGAAGAGGGGTAGGAAGAGGTCTAAAGATTGGAAATTGGAAAAATGATGAATGGCCTCCTGAACGGATAATCCAGTACTACGGCCCGGCTACCTGGGCCGAGGATGGGATGTATGGATATCGAACCCCTATATATATGTTAAATAGAATTATCAGATTGCAGGCAGTACTGGAGGAATCACTAATGAAACCTCAATAGCACTGTACGTACTGGTAAAACAGAATGCCCAGATGAGAGCAGCCATTTACCAAAATCGATTAGCATTGGATTACCTCTTAGCTGAAGAAGGTGGAGTGTGTGGAAAATTCAACCTCACAAATTGTTGTCTCCAGATAGATGAAACAGGAAGGATTATCGAAGAAATAACCGATCGAATGAGGAAACTGATTCATGTCCCAGTCCAGAAATGGAGAGGAATTTTGGAATCCATCGGACTGGGAGATTGGTTAGGAGACCGGAAAAAAATATTACTAATGGTCGGAATGGTGTTTGGAGGACTGTCACTCTTGCCCTGTTCGGTTCCATTGGTAATGAGAATGGTGCAGAGAACTATAGAATCCATCCACGTAGTAACTACCCACAAATGTAATTCCCAGGGGCAGTGAATAATGACCTTCTCAGTGGTGCTGAAACATGAGGAGTTTGAAGCTGAAAAGGCTATGCTACAGGGACTTTTAGGAAAACCCAGTGAAGAATTAGTCACAGTAAGATAGAACCAAAAGAAAAAGGGTGGATTGTGAGAAGTAGAAGATTTCTGTGACTAACAAACTAGAGCAGGTAAAACTATGGATCGCTTGGTGATTAATAAAGGTATTGTGATTAACAAACTAGAACAGGTAAAGCCATGGATCACTTAGTGATTAATAAAGGTATTGTGATTAGAATGGGTAAAGCTATATAGATCACTTAATGATTAATATAGTTATTGTGATTAACACAAACTGATAGACTACAAGATGTAATTGGTAGACATGGCATTAAATTTTTGAACTTAGAATCCAAGGTACGGCTGCGTAATAAGCTAATGCATATTAGTGGTGCCTCCTACTATGACTCAGAGGGTCATTAACATGAACATGGGACGTATGAGCTGGGGGGGCGGGGTAACATACCAAGGAGTAGTATGATGAAGGCAGACGGGAAGAATGTGAACTCCCAGTATCCCACCAATGGGAAAAAGGAGGCAGGGACTTTGTGCGTGAAGTAGGCAATAAAAGGCTGTATAAACTGCTCCCCAGTGCACTACCTTTGGGGTGAGTGCTTGGTCTGGCCAGAATGTATTAAACTGTTGCTGCTTGGTACTTTGCCTCCTGTATCGTCATTGCTTGGATTCCATTCCTTACATTTGTGAGCCAATAGTCCATCTTCCAGGAACCTTAGTTTGTGGTCACAGAATCCAAATCTCTCTTTACTGTACCACCATTGTAAACAGTCATTCGCTTGAAGGATTTTGCTTTCTGTAAAAGTTCCTCTTCCATGTACTGGTAGGATTGGAGAAAAGTCCCAGTGTTTTTTATTTTCCTCCCTTAAGCTTCAAAGTCTGATGTTATGTCATCAAAGCTTCTCCTAGCAGTGTCATTAGGTCCCCTGTTGATGAGAAGGGTCATTTATCAGTGAATTGTATGAGTAAAGATGCGTGAACTTATTGGTTATATCATTAATCTTAGCTCCAGGAAGACAACATACTTGGTAATTGTGTGGGTCCTTGCAAAATATGTATTTTTCCATCTTGTACAACAGTGAATCTCCCACAACTATCACTCTTCTCCTTTTGTTGTTACAAACTTTGATATCTTTTTCCTTACTTGATTGACCTTTTGATTCTTTGTTCAGAGTTATTCTGTGTGTCATGTAGCTCTTTCACAGGAGTTTCTTGCTCCTTTCTTCATCAATTAACTTAAAGCAGTTCAAGACTTCCACTGTTTCCACTAGTGAAGGGTGTCTTCTTTTGCATTTAACTGTTACCTTGTTCCAGGGAGTTTCCTCATTTTCCCTTCCCTCGGGGTTCTCTTTTCTGCTTCAGCTTGTTGATGCACTTCTTCCTTTAGGACTATACTTAGCTGTTGTAGTTCCACTGCTCTGTCTAATCATGCCTGTCAAAACCCTGACCAAAAATGTGCATTCTTCACAATAGACCACAATGTTTAAAATGCACATTTTGGGGAAGCGTTTCATATTTTGCAGATTCATGACTTTTCTGAAGTGCAGATTTGTACCAACATGTACAAATATACTGTGGAGGCTGTGAGAAGACCAATTCTAAAAAAGCCAAACCTGGACCCAGAGACCTTTGCCAATTATGGCTGGTGGTAAACATCATAATTTTGGGCGATTTGTGCTTGAGCGGGTGGTGGACAAGCTGCTCCAGGCACTCTTGGATGAAACAGATTATCTTGATCCACTTCCAGATTATCTTGATCCATGCTGATCACATTCTCAGATGATACTAAACTGGGGGTGCTGGCAACAATTGAGGAGCAGGTATGCCAGATCCAAAAGGATCTGAACAGACTATGGACGTGGGCAGGGGACAACAGGATGGTGTTCAATGTGGATAAGTGCAAGGTCTTGCACTTGGGGCATAGGAATAGCTGTCGTAAGTACAGGTTAGGTGATAAGTGGCTGGAGAGCAGCACTTGTGAAGGGATCTCAGGGTACTGGTCAACTGCAGTCTTAACATGAGTCAGCAGTGTGACACAGTGGTCAAGAGGGTGAATGCCACCCTTGGTTGCATAGCCAGAAGAATGACTTCCAGATTGAGAGAGGAATTACTGCCACTTTATATGAATCTGGTAAGCTTGCAACTGGAGTACTGAGTTCATTTCTGGGCTCCACATTATAGGAAGAATATAGTCATGTTGGAATCAGTGCAGCATAGGGTCACAAGGATGGTGGCCAGATTGCAGGGAAAGCCATTTGAGGCAAGACTGAGGGAACTGGGTCTTTTCAGCCTGGAGAAGAGGAGACTCCAAGAGGATCTGTTGGTGATATATGTGAGGGGGTGTCACACTGAGGTGGGTAGAGACTTGTTTTCTCCCACAGAGGAATGCAGGATATGTTCCAATGGAGCAAAGTTCAGGGAATCAAGGTTCAATTTATATGCCAGAAAGTACTTCCTGACAATCAGGACCCTGAGAGTATTGAATAGGCTTCCATGGGAAGTGGTTGAAGCCCCATCGGTAAGGGTGTTCAAGGATAGGCTGGACGTGCACATGGGAGGCATGTCATGTGTGGAGCTGGCTGGAGCTGGGGCTCAGACTAGATGGCCCAGGAGGATCCTTCTGACTTGTGCTGTTTCTATGTTTTATTTCAATAGGCTTTCTACACTATTGCCCATGGTGTCTTGTTGGACAGGCTGGCTGGGTTGGTACTTGGAGGCACGGTATTACAGTGGCTTTACTCCTTCCTGGAAGGCCATGTCACAGCCATACATTGCAACTGGGAAAACCATAGCCTTGAGTATACGCACTTTTGTCAGCAGGGTGATGTCTGTGGTTTTTAGTACGCTGTCTAGATTTGCCATAGCTTTCCTCCCCAGGAGCAAGCGTCTTTTAATTTCTTGGCTGCAGTCCCCATCTGCGGTGATCTTGGAGCCCAGGAAAATAAAATCTGTCACTACCTCCACTTCTTCCCCATCTATTTGCCAGGAAATGATGGGACCAGATGCCATGATCTTAGTTTTCTTAATACTGAGTTTCAAGCCAACTTTTGCACTCTCCTCTTTCACCTGCAGCAAGAGGCTCTTTAGTTCCTCTTCACTTTCTGCCATTAGAGTGATATCATCTGCATATCTGAGGTTGTTGATATTTCTCTCAGCAATCTTAATTCCAACTTGTGATTCATGTTGGCAATTTGATCTCTAGTTGGCAATTTGATCTCTACCTATGGAATGTGCTCCCCAGAGAGGTCTGCCTGGCGCCGTCATTATTTGTTTTTTGGCGCCAGACCAAGACCTTTTTATTTTAAAGTTATTTTAATTGTTAATTTATTGCTTGTATTTATTGGGTTTTTATGTATGTGCTGAGATGTTTCCGTTTTTTTAAGTCTAATTATATAATTGTTTATTTATGTTGTAAGTCGCCCCAAGGCTTTTTGCGAATGGGGCAGCATAGAAATGGTATAAATAAATAAATGCCTCTGCCTCTTCAAAACCATGCCTGTACTTCTGGTAGTTCTTGGTCCACATACTGCTGGAGCCTAACTTGTAGGATTTTGAGCATAACATTGCTAGCATGTGAAATGAGTGCAATGGTGTGGTAGTTTGAACATTCTTTGGCATTGCCCTTCTTTGGAATTGGAACATAAATTAGGAAAAGTTGGGAAACCATATTTCTTTCATTCTATAAAATATTTGCTGCCTGAAGGATTATTGGCCAGCTGTGGGACAGTATAGAAATGAAACAAACAACAAACAAACAAAATGTGTTACATAAATATATTACACAATATTTTATTTTTTTCAAAACATGAATCACATACTGTATAAAGAAAGTTGTACTTTTAAATAGATATTGCAAAATTCTTAGCCTGGTTACTCAAAGAAACATTACAGTGCTGTTAAATGTTTCTTCTTCTTCTTCTTCTTCTTCTTCTTCTTCTTCTTCTTCTTCTTCCTTATCCTCCTCCTCCCCCCATTCCTCCTCCTCCTCCCTGCAGCTTACTGGACCTGGAAATGTGGGAAACTGAACTGGAGGACCAAATATTTTATGTGTGTGTGTGGAGCAAGGGGTGGATTCCTTAAATGTTCTGGCCATTTCCAGAGGTCTGGCAAATTTCTCTCAGGAGTTCTAGTCTTCCTCACAAGCAGTTGAAATTCTCCATCTGCATGCTTCCAATAATTTGCAAAATGAGAAAAGATATACAGAATAAGTAGAAGGGGAAAGCTCTCAAAGTGTTAGAATGATTATTTATGACCAACTTATTCCAGAACAAAGATCCTTCTTTGAAAGAACATTCTGCATCAGTAAAGTCAGTGTGGGTGTATCCTTTATATATTTAGACAGAAAAGGGCCCTATAACACCCCGCTTGCCTCAGCAAATGTGCTGTTTTTCTTTTAAAACATTGCATTTTTAAGTATAATCCATGATGTAATAGAACATAAAATATGCACATACCACCACCACCACCAGCATATTCAGTTCATCAAAATAAATATCCAAACTGTGAGAAAAGGGGTCCAAGTTACTTCTGAATCAACAACAGATGTTTTAATGATAATTCATTTGCTTGAGAGCAGAAAAGCAATAGTGGCAATGGGTTAGGTGTGTCCCCTGCACTGCCTGCAGCAGGCATTCCTATTAGGTCTTGCACTTAGGACATAGGAATGGGTGTCATAAGTACAGGTTAGGGGACATGTGGCTGGAGAGCAGCACTTGTGAAAGGGATCTCAGGATGCTGGTTGACTGCAGGCTTAACATGAGTCAGCAGTGTGATGCGGTAGTCAAGAGGGCGAACACCACCCTTGGTTGCATAGCCAGAAGTGTGGCTTCTAGATCGAGAGAGGTATTGCTACCACTCTATATGACTCTGGTGCACCCACAACTGGAGTATTGTGTTCAATTTTGGGCCCCTCATTACAGGAAAGATATAGCCAGGTTAGAGTCAGTGCAGTGTAGGGCCACAAGGTTGGTGGCTGGTTTGCAGGGAAAGCCATATGAGGCAAGACTGAGGGAACTGCGTCTCTTCAGCCTGGAGAAGAGGAGAATCAGAGAGGATCTGTTGGCGACATACAGGTATGTCAGGGGATGTCACACAGAGGTAGGTAGAGACCTGTTCTCCCCTGGGGACGAGGTTCAGGACCAACTCCAACAGAGCAAAGCTCAGGGAACCTAGGTTCCATTTAGATGCCAAGAAGTACTTTCTGACAGTTAGGACCCCAAGGTTATGGAATGGGCTTCCACAGGAGGTAGATGAAGCCTCATTGGTGAGGGTGTTCAAGGATAGGCTAGACATGCACTTGGTGGGCATGTCGTGAGTGGAACTGGCTGGAGCTGGGCGTCAGACTAGATGGCTCAGGAGACCCCTTCTGACTCGCTCTGTTTCTGTGTTTCTCTGTTTTTCTGTTTCTATTCATCTCAAATTATACACGGATGTATGTATACTGAATGTATATCCACTGAAATAAGAAATACAATATAAGAAAAAAAGTTTTCTGAGATATCTGGAAATATATCCATTCCTGTGAGACCTGCACCTGCGCCAAAACTCCATGCCAACAACCCCAAAGTTTTCTACAACCACTGTCCATACCTGGGCATTCTTGGTTGGTCATTTCTGTAGACTTTATTATGTATCTGCTTCTTTTCCAGGGCCACACAGCCATCTTTGTGGTGGCAGACACTTTGTCATGCATGCATGGCACACCTTGACTAAGATGGCACATTTTGTGCCAATCCCAAAATTACCCAGAGCACAGCAGACTGCCCATCTCTTCATGGAACATGTGTTCTGCCTGCACATTCTTCCAGATGCAGTGATTTCAGACTGTGGCACACAGTTCACATCTCACTTCTGGACAGCTTTCCTGGGGCTCTTGGGGACTGACTGATGGCTGCCCTCAGCACACCACCTACAGACTGATAGGCAGACAGAGTGAGTAAACCAAGTTCTGCAACAATATCTACAGTGCTTCTCTTGTTTTCATCACGATAACTGGGTAGAGCTGATTCTGCCAAACATACTTCTACCGGACATAGCCCCTTCTTTGCTAATGTTGGTTATCACCCACAATATCACCCCCACGCTCTGGTTCTTTCCCTTGTTCTGTCAGCCAATGAGTGACTGTGTTACAAGAAACTCAGACTGAGTTCCTTCGTCACCTAAAGCAGATGAAAGCCACATACAAGAAACAGGTAGACAACAGCCAGTAGGAAGAGCCCCAGTTACATATAGGAGACATACGGCTCTCCTTTCCAATAAGTTGGACTACAAATTCCAAAGCCTCTTTTGAGTCATACAACAAATCAATCCAGTTACATACAAGATAGATCTACCATATCATCTTAAAATACATCCAATGTTCCACATATCACAATTAAAACCATATGCAGAAAACCCGTTCCCAAACAGCAAAATTCCACCTCCTCCACCAGTTCAAACTAAAGGTTGTGAAGAGTATGTTGTAGCCAAGATCATAGACTCTAAGCATATACATTACCTGGTGGACTGGGAAGGCTATGGTCTGAAAGAACAATCATAGGACCCAAGGAAAATATTCACACACCTGCCAAGCTCTGGACATTCCACAGAGCCCACTCTAACAAACCCCAGGCTTGAAAGAGAAAGGGACTCCCCTTTTCTTTTTGGGGGCGGTCAGGTCTGGCCAGGATCTGGGCAGCTTCAGGGCTCTTCCTGCTGGCCAAACACCAGAGTAACAGCCCTGGTAGTTGCAGGATTACTCCCAGACTCTGTTGCAGCTACCTGGGCCTTCATGAATGCCACCTGGGAGTCCTGAGGGAAGAGCTATTTAAGAAGTGGCTCTTCCCTCCAGAAGTTCCTTCAGCAACACTGGCTTCTAGTGTGGTGAAACCCCCTGCCCCTGCCCCTGCCCCTGAGGTATCTCTGCCCTTGTGCTATCTTTTGGGCTCCTGACCTCTGGCTTTTTTCAACTATGCTTTGCTATCTGGACTACACTTGGTTTGCTTCCCTGTTTGACCTCGGTTTGCTCTGGATTACACCTTGGATTTGGCTTTGTCATATAGTTTACTGACTGTATCTGAGTCCTGGTGCCTTTGTTCAGCTCTCTGCCATTTATGCCCTGAACCTTACAAGCTGAGAACAAGAACACAGTTCATTTTTCAGCACTGAGGAGAGATGCTTCATACTCAAATACTACTCATAGATTACTTCTACTGTATGTACAACATATGCAAGTGGGCTCCACAAAGAGCCAGCAGTGGTGAATGAAAGTGGACCTTTATAAAATGTTATGCAGGAAAC